GAACAGTGGACCCTTCCTTGTCCCTCATTTTGAGGTAGTTCACTGTGGGCCTGGACCTCCTCAGAGAGCCCCTGCCTGAGACAAAAAAAAGCTGAATAGAGAGTTGGAAAAGGGAACCAGTTTACTTTCCACACAGTTCCCACTCTGTTTAGGTAAAATGGAATAGGTCTTCCTACTCTAAGACCACAGCATTGTTACATACACATACAATTAACCTCTCTTGGCTACCCAACACACAGACACAGACACAGACACAGACACAGACACACACACACACACACACACACACACACACACACCATGCAGAGCAGCCATAAGGCCTCAGGGGATGTGCTGACAGAGCATCCACATTCCAGTGGCTCCCCCAAGATAAAGCCTGGCCAGAGCGGCAGCCTCCTTCTAGAAAGTGGGGCAGGTCTGTCCTTTCCCAGCCTCACAGACTTGGCAGAACTAAGGAATTGGAAGGCAGTTTCCCCCACAAGGCTGGCTGCTGTTTTGGGGAGTAAGGCCTGAAATGCAATTGTCCTGAACATTTTCCTAACGATTTGTCCAGGAAGAAGGATGGGTAAGAATACTCTCAATCTGTTGGGCCAAGTCCTCCTGTGGGCAGCTAGATGATCCATGGATAACCCACATCTTAAATTCCCTGATTTGAATAGAAGTGGAAGGAAAACACCAAATAAATCAGCTCAGGCATTCTGTGGTTGAAAATTTACATATCCAGGTGTCCTTCAAGCCAGCATATTCTGTACATAGGTTATTCTGACCTGTCTGGGTCCTGCTAGAACTCTGACTGATTCCATAGGTATGTGTATCAAGTAACTGGAGGGCAAGCATGTCTACATTTTAGCAGTGACAATCCTGGTGACTACTGCTTGTAGGAGGGGGTGAAGTCTGACCAGAGTTACATGGCAGCAACATAGGGATGCTGTGCTAGGAAGGAGGTCAGTGTGTATGCCTAAATCACACCCCAAACTCAGCCAGCTTTGGAGGGCCTCAGCCCTCTCCTCCTCCAGGCTCTTCTAGCTTATCCCTTCACAGCTTCTCATGCTCTGGTCTGCAATTTTCAGAACATACAAGAGCTGTTCTGGAGAAGGTGACACATGAGTGAGGATGAGGCCCTCAGAGGTGCCAGCCATTGGGCAGCACCTTGCTGAGTTACTTTTCCCAGCAGGTGGGACTCACTGCCCTTGTGCTTTTGGTTTTGGAAATCAAATGACTCATGGTAGCCCTGAGGCAGCATATGGGGCAAACCTGCTCAGTGCACATGGCCCCGGCCAGGGCAGCATCCCAACAGGAACTGCTATGACTGGATACACGTCCATGTCAGGGCTGGGTATCTGGGGCCTCAAGCAGCACATTCCACTCTTTAAGTTTAAACTCCCTACTATCCTTTTGTGTGGTCTCTCGGGGAGCTCTGGGCCTCAGGGCAGAGCCTGTGTGGTGTCTGCCAGCTCTGTGTAGACAGGTTCTCTAAGTCAATGCTGTTCCTAGAAATGTCATATGAGCTAAGTCTGGAATCCCAAAGGAAATGCTTGGTTTTCCCCAGCACAACTTCAGTGAGCCACACAGAGCTTTCAGAACAGACAGGGTCTGCCAGTGCCCTCCTGAGCTTGCTGGGCTAGCTAAGTGTGTGAGGCATGGGCGGCTGAATCTACAGCAAGATGGTGGTTAGACATGAGGCCCTTAAAAAAAAAAAATCAACTTCTTCCTGCTAGTTTACATGATTACATGCTTTAAAAATGTTTGGAAAGCTGGATATAGTGGCACATGATTTTAATCCCAGAGGCAGGAGAATCTCTGTAAGTGTGAGGCCAGCCTTGTCTACAAAGTGAGTTTCAGGACAGTCAGGGTTACCCGGTGAGATCTGTCTCAAGAAAATGAAACTAAAAGAACAGTTTACTTTCACTGCCTCCTAAGGCCTGGGTGTGGGGGCTAGATGGAGGGGAGGACATGACCTTTTGGCTGCCTCTGCTTCCCTGGGTAGCCCCTCTTCTTCTGCATGGTCTAGAAAGCAATGGTGGTATCTATATCCAGTGTTGGGAAAATAAGTGTAGTCAGTGGTCTGTAGACAAAGCTGGCTGATGGGTGCCCTGGGTTTTCTCTTTTCCCACCAGGAGGGTCTGCTCCAGGCAAGTGTCTGGGCCTTGTGTGGAGTGGGAGACAGGTTGGAGACTTGTCTCAGAGTCACTGTGCTTCTCTGGCTCTGTACATGACAAAGATATTTTCACATCACTAAAATGTCTGGCTTTTTCCCCATGGACCCCCGCCTGACAATCAAGCAGGAGACCTGAAGAACTTGTGCCGGAACACAGCCCCCAGCCAGGCAGGGAGAATTTGGGAGGAGGGTCCCTTAAAGGCTAGCAAAGGCCCTCTCTTCTTGAGGTAATTGTGCACCAAACATGGAGGGCCAGGCCTCAGCGGCTTCAAAAGCATAGGCCCAAGAAATGGCTGCCAGTCTATTCCGCAAATGTAGAGTGTACTTTTTGTGGCTGTCTCTAGACCAGGACCATTTCAGCTCCCACAAGATTCCTGACATTCTCTGCATGAGACTCCCTGACAACTTTACTCTCCAAGGATGGGACAACTCCAACTCCAAAGCAAAGTTCTGGGATTTGTACATCTGGCATAAATTCCAAGAAGTAAACACCCGCCTGGCCCTGTCCAAGTCTTAAGAATTTCCTGTTGTCTGTGTTACTCCATGGAAAGGGATCACATCTGCACTTCATCAGCTTACAGGCGCCTGGATGAGAAGCAGATGTGGTCACAGAGGGGGCTCTGCCACAGGCCTAGTTTCTGGGAGGACCTATGTTCAGCTGGACCTGTCCTGAGTGAGCAACTAGGGAACCAGCAGGACTTGTGATATTCCCTGTGTGTGTGTGTGTGTGTGTGTGTGTGTGTGTGTGTGTGCGCGCGCACGCGCGCAATGCAATGAAGGATAGATGAGTGTGCAACTATAGTAACAATCCTCCAGCTTAGTTTGGGATCCTCTGGGTGGGAGATTTCCTACCAGTCACACAGGAGCCTAAAATCTTATGAGGACAGCATATCTTGAAAGGACCCTCCTGACTCCATCTCTCCCCTGCCTACCCTCCCACACAGGCAGATGGCTGAGTTCACTGACACTTGGAGGTATGGCAGAGGCTCCTATACGGTGTTGGCTTCCTTCTCACCCAGCTCAGGAAAGGAAAAACACAGCTAGTCCAAGGGCTCCATCTAAGATGATCAAACATGTCCTTGTAGCCTTCAGTACCAGCTATACAAGGTTGAGGCAGAAGGATCACGTCAGTTTGGGCATTAGAACTCTTAAAACAACCTCCTGGGTTCAAAACTACATGTTTGGTTCTCACTGGAAATTAGCCACCATTTAATAACTACCTAAGGATAACTGGCTTAATTAAGATTTTCTCTTAATGGAAACTTGGGGAAATCTCCATTTCAAATACACCTGCTCTATTTTGTGTTTGGAAATGTTGCACCCTAATTCTACCTCTGGGGGGAGGCACGTGCAGGAACAATGGCAGCTGTCCTACTTAAGTGTTGTCTGAGTCATAGCATGAGCTGACAGTAGATAGCACCCCACGCTGTTTGTCAAATTCCTTCTGCTTAGAATATAACCCACAGGTCTGGCAGTGGTGGTATAGGTATATGCCTTTAATCCCAGCATTAGGGAGGCAGGTAGATCTCTGTGAGTTTGAGGCCAACCTGGTCTACAGAGAGGGTTCCAGGACAGCTAGGGCTGTTATGCAGAGAAACCCTGACTCAAACAAACAAAAAAAAAAAAAAAAAAAAAAAAGGAAGGGAGAGAGGGGTGGGGGGAAAGGAAGGAAGGAAAGGAATGAAAGGAAGAAAGAAAGAAAGAAAGAAAGAACATAACCCACAGAGAGGCTGAACCCAGAGACCTAGAATGACAAAATGACAAGTAAATTTCCTTCAGGCCCAGGCCAAGAAGAATGGAAAATATGAATAAGCCACATTGATACTGGCTTCAAACTTCAGGGAGAAAGTCATGAAACCATTCACAGAATTGAAAAGACATTTTGACGACTGATGATGGGAATGTAAACTTATATAGTGCCAGGAGCCTGACCACATACATAAATGTGTGATTGAAAGCAGCAATACTTGGAAGTAGGGGATTATCTAGCATGTCAGTGCATGAAGACAGAAGAGGCTGTACTGTTATGACTTGGGGAACTAATCAGCACCAAATTCCTTGTGTCCAAAAACTGTCCTGGATGCAGCCTGGTCTACACAGTGAGTTCTAAGACAGCCATGGCTACACAGAGAAACTATCTTGAAAAACAAACAAACAAACAAACACAAAAAGTAGAACCACTGTGGGGGAGGGAAGGCTGTAGATCAGTGGCTCTTAACCTTCCTAACGCTGCAATACTTCACTATAGTTCCTCATGTTGTGGTGACCACCCCACCATAACATTATGTTGTTGCTATTTCATAACTGTAACTTTGCTACTGTTACAAATTGTAATGCAAATATCTGTGTCTTCCAATGATCTTAGGCCACCCTGTGAAAGGATCATTTGACCTTCTAAAAGGGGTTTTGACCCACGGTTGAGAACCACTGCTGTAGACACTGGGTACTCAGCACCTATCATGCAGGGGAAAATGGATGGATGGATGGTTGGACACCCAGTCTCTTAGGATTCTGCCTGTTTGTGGTGTTCCTGGCATCCCCCGATCCTGGACCTAGCACAGCTGGCTAGGTTTGACCGCAACAGGTAAGAAGATGAGTGTCCTGGCTGGTATCCCTGACTACTCCTATGGGACAGGAAGATGGGGAGGGGCAGCCAGGGGGTGGGCTGGAGCAGGCCATTCCCATCAGGAAGCGCATCCTGTTAGTGTCTGGCTCTGTGGAAGGTCTGCTATTTGTTGCAGTTGGCTACGCCCTCCTGCTCACCAAAAACAGCCTCAAAAACAACCATTTCCTCTCTGCTGAGAGACAGGGAAACGGGAGTGCGCTCACACGCACGCGCGCGCATACACACACACACACACACACACACACACACACACACACACACACACACACACACACTTCCTTGTAGCAGGCATTCTGCTTTCCAGGACCTGCCATTTGTGGCAGAGGTACTAAGACGGGCTAGGCAGCAGAGAGGTGGCCAAACCCACACTGCTTCCACAACCCTGCTCTCATCGGACTGACTCCCACAGGCAGTTCTAAGGAGTGTGACCAGCTGATTCCCATGCTGTGCATGCCTCCTGAGTTACTTTGTTTTCCACTGCTGTAGGCAAGCAGTACTGTGGACACAGCCTTCCTGGCCTCTGTTCCAAAGAAGACGGCCCACTTACAACTCTGGATTCTCGCTGGTGTGGCCGGTGCCCCAGATTTCTCCCAGGAATGGGTCTTGGAGAGACCAGCTTCAGTACAGGCTTGTCCCTGCTCCAGGTTCAAGAGGGAGGATAAGGCAGGGCTGTGAGCAGCTCACTTGGACCCATCCCATGGGCTTCTCCCCATACTGCCGACATCCTCATGTGCCTGGCTGGAGCTGCTGCATAGCTTCCCAAGGATGAGTGGTGATGTTCTCTAGCTACACCTAGCAGCATCTTGGCTTTCTCTGGATGCACAGCAGCTGACCTGGACTTGGGCCTTTCTCCGAGATAGACAGTACTGGCAGTCAGATATGACTGTCCAGAAACTTGTGGCCACAGCTGTGCTGGTGGCCCTTGTCTCCCTCATCCTCAACAATGCAGCAGCCTTTACCCCCAACTGGGTGTACCAGACGCTGGAGGATGGACGCAAGCGAAGTGTGGGGCTGTGGAGGTCCTGCTGGCTGGCGGACAGGGGTAAGGGAGGCACAAGCCCTGGGACCCGAACTGGGCAGGTGGACACACATGACTGTGAGGTGCTAGCATGGGGCTCTGAGTCAGCAGGTTTCCAGGAGTCTCGAGGCACCGTCAAACGTAAGTCTCTTTATTTTCCTGTCACCTTCAGGTGGTTAGGGGAGGGGAGGTTGTGCTCAGGATAGTGGTGGTGTCACGGAGCATGGACCTCAAGCCCGCCCTGAAAAGCAATACCGCATAACTCCCTTGATGGACTTCTTCACAGTTCAATTCATGTGGCTGAAGGATGAAAAATAGGTATGCTAATCAAATTAAGACATTGTTCCTTGGGTAGAAAGAAGTACCACTAAGGATTAAAACAAGAAGTGTAAGAATATGTGGATGAGTTCTGTCTGTATTTCTTAGTTAGTCAGGGCCTTTAGGCCAGGGAAGGAGAATCTGGCTGGGGTGTCTAGGAGACCAGAGGAAGCACGTGGTAGCAAAGTGTACAGTGTTACCTCCCCCACCCCAATGGTGGCCTTCTCCTTTTCCAGCTCTCTTGTCTTGGGTCTATATACTACCTGGGAGTGGGGACTTCACTTAAAATAGAGCTTAGGTTTGAGAGTACAAGAAGAAAGTTTGCATAAATATGAAGATGCTACCTAAAATAGGCATGTCTGTCTACATGCAAGTTCTCTCCAGATGACAACCCCCTAAAACTGACAGGGGGTCTCAACTACAGACTTCCATGGAGGCTACAGGTCAGACAGCTCTGTCAGAAGACAACACTGATCTTTAGAAAACATGAGACTTAGGTGGGCACCCCCCCCCCCAGTGTTATCAACGGACTTTCTGGAAATCCTGAGTGACTTGCCCAATGCAGCCACCTCAAGCCTGATCCTGACCAACAGTGGCTTTGCAAGGTAGGCCAGGAAACAGCATTCCTATCTCATAGGTAGAGGTACCGTGCCTTACAATGGGGGTAGGTCAGCCTCTTCCTTGGGGCCTTGACAGGCAGGGAGCCTTTTATTGAGAGACAGATCAAAATACATGAATGCACTCTCAGAATCTGGGTGTCTTGTGGGAGGGAGGCTAAATAGCTGGACTTGGGTCTTCATGTGATGTGTCAGTAGAGAGCTCTCCCTATGCATTCCACAACCTTTCTGGCTAGGTAGGAAAGCTAGTAAGCTTGAGGGTCCACCAAGCTTCTCACAGGGGCCATGGCTTTGTCTAGGTCTTCTGGGGTGGGGTTAGGTGTAGGCTGGGGCTCGCTAGGCTCTGAGAATAGTCAATTCCATTCTGGACCATAAAGTCTCTGAACAGTCCAGCTGTCCCCTGTGATATGTGTACAGTACTGTCTCCCTTTTCTGTCTTTTGTGCTCCAGCTGGTGCATCCAGGAGCATCTTGTGTAGATAGATACCTTGTTCTTCCCACTCTCCTCCTTCTGAGGCCTGTTATCTCAGGCCAACAGAATACACAGGGCCTCTATGACATCCCCCCCCCCCCAGCTATGTGATGGCATGGCAGCCACAGCTGTCCCTACCCTGAGCACCCCACATTTTCCCTTTTACCTGTGCCTTCTTAAGGTTCCCACCTATGTGAGTCTGCCACCATACCTGATGAGCTCCCAAGACAATTTAAAAATACTTTCCTAAGCTGGGCTGGTGATGGATGACTGTAATCCTAGCACTCAGGTGCTGACCCAGGGATACATAGTGAGACCTTGTCTCAAAAAGAAAAAATGAACACCTTTTGCAAATAATATGGCATTTGCAAGTAGCTCATCCTTAATGAATCTGAGCAGCAACTATTGCTCAAACAACAAAAAAAGACACTGAAGAGCTTCTTGATACTAAGTAACAGGATGGAAATTTTTGGAAAACAGGCTAAATGGATAATTCTGGTTGCTAACACAGTCAAGCACACATTGAGACTGAAATGCAATAGGAACAAAGTAGCCACCAGTCAGCATTTCCTGAGCGGAAGCTGGTCCCTAACCCCCTGGCTGGGGACAAGGCTGTTTGGCTTTGTGCCCAGGGGCTTGGAGGTAGAGATGCTGCTGCTGGTCTCTTCCCTTTCATCTTCTCTCCATGAGCTTTGCTCACCACTTGTGCTATCCACTAAGTCAACTCACACTCTGTTCTTCATGGACAGAGACAATAGAAACCACACGGCCAGTGATGCCTGTTGTCCCCACCCCTGTGGACCTATATCCCCAGCCTGCATGATGACTTGCTACCATTTAAAATCAGACTTGTGACCAATCTGAGACTCTCATATAAAATCCCACCATGTGACCCAGGTGGATCTACAAATCAAACCTCTGGGGAGGGGCAGCTGCCCACATTCTACCATTTAGACAGATGGCATCAGGGTAACAACCTTCCTGTCTGAGCAATGAATGATACTTTATAAACCCTCCAATGCACTATGGGCATAGTCACTGGTGTCACAGGGCTGACTGTGTGGCTTGCTCACAATTTCATTATGAGAAGCAGCCTAGGGCACTGGGTTACAAGGACAGGACAGGCCACTCTTAGAATTTCCAGACATCACTGGTGGGGCCATTTGGTAGGGTCACCCCCTGGTAGTCCTGTGCCATGAGTTCTTGCTTGCAGAATACATTGAGTTGGGGGTCTCTCAGTGCTTTTTGATTGCAAACATCCATGGGACCGGCCTGAGCTGCAGAAAAAACAAAGGGGACATTCCTAACATTCTCAACTCTGGTCTAAGGGCTCTGTGCTCCCAGATGTCATAAGAGCACTGGATCGGAACATGGTTCATACAGGTCAAACTCGGGTGCCCATGTCTTTTCTATGTCATACTGGGGATATTTTTGCCAGTTGGCCATTCTGTTAAGTGATACCCTGGGCTGAGAGTTGGAGACCAAGGATCTGCTTGACTACTTGAGCCCAGGTTTAGCTCCACTCTTTGTCTGCCTCACTTTTCGGAGCTTGTGTTCTTGTTCCGGGATCCTTAGTCCTTTTTCTGAACTTAGGCTGCACCTGAATATGAGCACAAAGTTGAACCCTGGCACAGATCAGTTGGACCTCCATGCTACCAAGGGAGAGCCCTCAACTCCTGCCCCTAGGCAGCCCCTGAGCATCTCCACACACTCTGTGCCATGCTGGACATCAAATATTCCCGCCTAGATAGGCAGGCTGGCTGGCTGGCCACTTAGCCAGATTGTTTGTTTAGGCATATCTATGCCAGGTGCTCTCTGGGACATCTTAGGCTGCACACACAGGCCCTCTGGGTGGGGGTCAGCAGCCACAATGAGACTGCTTCTTTCTCAGGGTGGGGCTCTGCAGCACTCTCTGTGATTCGAGGGGAACTCATTCAGGCAGGGAGTGAATGACTTTGTAGAGTCCTTCATGGGGTATGATGGAACTCAAGCTGCCAGGAAGGCAGAGCGAGGAAGACAACAGAATGGGGAGCAGAGGGCAGAAGGACAGGCCAGCAGTCTGTCTGCACTCTCTTCCGGGCTCCAAGTGCCAGTCTTCTAGCCTCACTGCACTGATTATGCACCCCGCCTTACAAGCCACTTGGGTCATTCTCTTTCCAACCTGCTCTGTCATTTATTCAGCTCCTTTCCTGGCCTTCAAGATGAAGCTCAGGATGCCTGTTAGTCTGTTCCTGTACTGTTAACATCACATTGCAACACCTTCCAGTTCTACTATCATTTGATGTAGCGGAGTCTCTGGGTGGCTCCTTAAACTGCTAGTCATGTTCCCATATGGAATGTGTGTGTGTGTGTGTGTGTGATACTTTACTAGAGCCTTGGCCCTGAACATACAGTGTGGGCACTTGGTACTTCCTGGTGTTTTATGTTCTCATGCCACATAGTATCAACTGCTGCTGCCTGGAACACCCCAGCTCTATCTGAAACTCTATATGCTAATAACAACAGTATTTTCACCACTAAGTGAAACACAATTGCTCTTAAAGAAACAGAATTGTTTCATAATGAGTAGCAAAGATTTTAAATATTTTTCTTACTATCATTCCTCAGCATGTATATATTAAATTGGTACATTTTGGGTTGACTTATAGTAATTTATTTATTTTTCTTTCTTCTTTTTGAGATAGGGTTTTACTATATATATAGCCTTGGCTGGTCTGGAGCTTGCAGTCTGTCTCTGCTGGGATTAAAGGTGTGAACTACCACTCATTGCCTATTTTTCACCTTTTGTAACATTTGGTTTGCTGACTTGAGTTTCATTTAAAAAAAATCATTAAAAGAATTTTGGATTCTGATAGAATTTTTAATAATTTCTGAAACCCCTTTAACCAATCTTCTGCTGTCTTGTACTATGTATTCATGTGGTGTATCCACATGGTAGCTCACAACTACCTGTAGCTCTAGTTCCAGGAGATCTGACACCCCTGCACAGATATACATGCAGGCAAAACACCAATGCACATAACATAAAAATAAGTAAATAATTTAAAAAAATAGCCAGGCAGTGGTGGCTCACACCTTTAATCCCAGCACTTAGGAGGATCTCTGGGTTCAAAGCCAGCCTGATCTACAAAGCGAGTTCCAGGACAGGCAGAGCTACACAGAGAAACCCTGTCTTGAAAAAACTAAACCTAAACTAAAATAAAAATAAAAAATATGGGGTTTTCAAGATGGCTAAGTAGGTAAAAGCATTTAGCCTAAGCCCGACAACCTTTGACCCCACATGGTGGAAGGAGAGAATCAACTCCTGAAAATTGTTCTCTGACCTCTACACGCCCTCTGTGAGATGCACATTGTTGTATCTCTAATAAATAAGTTAATGTAAATAGTTTATAAAAATCAGAATTATATCAACTCTGACAAATGAAGATGTTCTACATCCTATAGTACTAAATATTCAACCAAATTTGATTCTTTGTTTTTTGAGACAGAGTTTCTCTGTGTAGCCCTGGCTGTCTGTCCTGGAACTCTCTTTGTAGAGAAGACTGGCCTTGAATTAAAAAATCGCCTGCCTCTGCCTCCCAAGTGTTGGGATTAAAGGCATATGCCATCATGCCAGGCAAGATTCAATTCTTTATCAATTAAAGAATTAGTATAATTCTTTACTAGTATACAAATAACTAGTATATAAATTTGCTTTTGTCTTTAATAAATGGTATAAATTATATTTATATCAAA